AAAGTACAGGCAGCAAAAACCCACAGATGGGGAGAACATCAAGATTAACATTTGCAAAGTAAGAAATATTGGTATCTGCGGTTATTGTCGTCCAACCAGACAGTAGCTTCTACAGGGGTATTGAAAAATTGCACTTTACCTTACAAACCACTTGCAGTTTTTCAGGGCAGATTATGCTGTAAGCGACATTATTTTCCCTGAGGTGTCTTTTTTAACATTGGAGAAGATCACTGTTTTTGTGTAGAGACATAGAAATCAGGTAAATTTCAATAGTGGTGTATGTAAGCTCACCAAGGCACAGGAGCTTCTCTCCTGTGTAAATTGTTACTTTATGCACGTTTTCTAGAAAAGCCTCAGTATCTTGACCCTCTGGGAAGCACAAGAAGTGGAGGTAATCCTCCAAATCACCCGGTTTAGCAGTCAGAAAGATGTCTTTGAACAACACATAAGAAAAAAGTTTAATAGTATTGCTAATCCCCTGCTCAATATTGGATACTATATGCCTCATTTTCTGCATCATTCCACATATTCCAGGTTCAAAGGTGATTGAAAAAAAAAAATTCACTTAACGTAAGCTGAGGTAAGCCTCCCAGACTGTCATTTCAATTTCTTTACTCTACTCTACTTTTTTTTAAGTATGATATATTTTTTGCAGGTTTTATTAACTCTACACTTATTTTTATTTGCTTTATACATACATGAGGAAAATTGGTCATATGTGTAAAGTAGAGTATCTAGCAAGCTAGGAAGAATGTGTTCACTATACTTCTCATATATCCCAGTTGGTAGGCCGTCTGTGCTTGGAGCTTTGTTGGTTGGAAACAAACTCATAGCCCCAAAAGCTTGGTAAGTGTTATGGAGGCATCTAGTTTCTCCTACTTTTGAATTATTGGAAAAAGGGGATACATCCCAGGAACATGAGCAAGTTTTTGTAATTATAACTAGTTCTACCATAGTATACCAAGCCAAGGCGTAAAAAAGTGTTTTGTGTTTAAGAGGTTCATGAAGACCAAAAAAGGCCAGTAAACAGCTAGGGTTAGAAGTCAGCATTCAAATAGATTTTAAAAAGTGAGAGTCCTACAAAACAGTTGTAGTGGATGTTCATTCCCTTGGGAAAAAGGTTCTAGTACAATTTGTAAACATTGCAAGGTAGATCCTTGTGGCTTTGCCTGGAGGAGATCAGTTCCATTCTGATCTGTCCACACCAAGTCCTCCATTTTACCCTTAGTCCTTTACTGAGAAGAAGTGTGCAGTAAGGGGGGGGGGGGGGGGTGCAAAAAAGGTAGGACCTGCAACCTATGAAACCTATGCAGGTGAACTAGTTCACAGCTCATGGAGTGGGTGCATTTTGGCCTTTTTACCTTGGGTGCTAATTGGGTTTAATAGTTAAGTTCACAGTTTTTTAAATTTTTATGATGGATTCAATGAACAGATTGCGAACTAAAGCCAAGTTCATTCGCTCATCTCTAATGGTTAGTTCTTTATACTCAGTTGTTTGGGTCAGCTGTATAAAGAAAAACATATTTTCTTATTGTCTATATGTTAAAAGTAGTTCTTTCAAAAACATAAGTGATAGCTAAAGTAGGTAGTATTTTAAATATATTTCTATTTGTTTAAACCTTCATATGGAGTTCTTCCTTAAAAATAACATTTAAAGTGAAAAAATGTTCTGCTTCATGGTTTAAAATGCATTATAGCTTTAGTCCACTGTACATTACCTGTGTAACAGGTGGAATATTGCTATCCTCTGTCAATTTCTATAGCTCCATGAGTAAAACAACAGTAAGACTTGTTTTGCTTCCACAGAGCAAAAAAATCAGGACATAATTGTGAAAGGAGAAAGCAGATTTTATCCATGACATTTGGTTAACACCATTGCGCAGTTGTTGATGTTCCAGACTGTAATAAGGTCAGTACCGTAAGGAAGATTTATGAGAAAACAAGTCTTTTTCACTTCATCTAGGCACCGAACTCTATTCATCTCAAGGGCAATGTCTGTGAAAGGCTTTCAAGAAGGTAGATTTTATGCTTTGCTCTTATTCACTTAAGAAAAGAAAAGACAACTGTACAGTACAATTATGCACCTTGATACTAAACAAGATAACATTTTGAGATATTTGCTTTACATATTTAAAATATATAAACCACCTTTACTCATTTTTGTAAGGAAAAGTTTATGAAAATATTAAATTCTTTATTATTATGGCCCAATGCAATATAAAAACTGTAACTACAGTATGTGAAATCATTCAATAGTGTTTCATATAGCATGCACATACCCAAATAAATGCTATAGATGTTCATAATCCTTAGAAAAACATATGCTTATCTATCCCAACCCTACATTATTTTTATTATTATTATACAGTATTTAAAAAAGCGCCAATAGTTCGCTCAACGCTGTACTTTACAAAGGGTGACAGAACATGTGACAGAACAATACCAATACAATGCAAAACATGAGGGGATTGAGGGCCCTGCTCTTTCGAGCTTACAATCTAGGAGGGAGGAGATAGTGGTACAGGAGGAGATAACTGTGGGGGATGGAGTGGTAGGAAGAGTGGAGGAGGTCGGCAAGTTAGCAGGGGGTGGGGTAGGATTCCCTGAAGAGATGGGTTTTCAGGGTGCGCCTAAAGGAGAGGAGAGTAGGTGATAATCTGATCAGTTGGGGCAGGGAGTTCCAGAGGATGGGTGACACCCTGGAGAAGTCCTGGAGGCGGACATGGGAGGAGGAGATCAGGGAACTAGAGAGAAGGAGGTCTTGTGAGGAGCGGAGTGTGCGTGCTGGGCAGTACTTGGATATTAGGTCATTGATGTAGTTCGGGGCAGTATGGTGGACAGCTTTGTACGTCAGTGTTAGGATTTTGAATTTGATCCGTTGCGCAATTGGAAGCCAGTGGAGGGATTGGCAGAGGGGAGTGGCGGAAACGGAGCGGTTTACATTAAAGCTTATTAAATGTAGTCAATGTGTGTTTATGCCCAAGAGTACAAATTTACTTGATTTCAGCTTAAAAGTCCATGGGTATAGTGACTGCATTCATTTTAACTTTTTCAGCCTCTTTTCCTTTATTTTTACTTGGTGATCTTGTGAATAACATACTTTGGGGTAAATTTACTAAAACTGGTGCAATCAGAATCTGGTGCAACTGTGCATGGTAGCCAATCAGCTTCTGATTGCAGCTTGTTCAATTAAGCTTTGACAATAAACCCTGGAAGCCGATTGGTTTATATGTAGAGGTGCACCAGATTTTGCACATGTGGTTTTTAGTACATAAATAATAATACAGTTTCTGTCCCAGTGTAGCTACACTCCATTTTATCTATGGATGAGTAGTGTTGTCAACCTAAAAGAGGAAGCATTTAGGACTACAGATTTGTTCCCCTCTTATCTTCTCCATATGATAGGACGCAGATGCTGTGTAGTCCACAGATCTGGGAACGATGCTACAGGAAAGCACTCAGCAAAGGCAGAGAGCACAGGAAATTATCAGGTCACAAGATTTATGGCAGAATCAACAGATGTTAAAGCAAGTATTTGTTCAAAATATTCATTGTTATGGTTTGCATACACTTTAAGGCTTTTTGAATTAAGCAAAGAGCAATAAGGAAAGTACAGATTGTTCTCAGCAATTAATGTTTGTTAAATCACATGCAAAATGCACCAGAGAAAAAAATGTCAGCTCATAAGTGGCAGCTTGCTGAGTCTCTGAAATTATGGTTTCAGTGCACAGACATGAATGCATCTGAGATATAAAGTCTGGCACTAAAACAAAGCAAAAAAAAAAAAAAATCAGATATGAATAAATCAGCAATCATTTGTACAATTACTGGTTCCTCTTTGTATCAAATGATAAGTTTGTCTCATGTGGGTTTTGTTCAATCCAGGCATCAATACTGCTTTGTACCTACAGTTGTCATGTGCTCTATAGCAGTCTGTATGTCATTTCTTATACTGTTAAACAAAGCTCTGCCATACCGTATTTTAAAAAGTATTTATGGAAAAGGTTATATTTGGTTTTCAGTCTTTATTTTTTATTAAACCATAAATAAAAAGCTCACATTAACTGTCAATTGAATAAAACGTATAAAGATGTATAGCAAGCTGTTGAAAGGACAATGTTTTTCTTTAAAGCATATCTAAATCTAACATCTTAGTTTTAGGTAGAGATAGGTGTTAGGGAAGGATTAGCAAACCCTGACAAGTTTGTATTGATGCCTTTGTCCTTGCTGGAGAGATCAAAGCTCTCTATTTGTTCCAAGAAAGGTCCAACATTTTAATTTGTTAGCTGAAATGGAGAGAAGGACTTTAACCCTTTTCACTGCCTTGGGTATAAGTATTACAGTATGTCCATGGCAGCAAAGCCCTGCAAACAGACATGTGACTACTATAGCACCTGGGAATCTGTTTACACCTCTTCAGCTGACTGCCCTGTTTCTAGTGGGATTGATTTGGGTGCATGCTTTTTAAAAGAGTTGTGTATTTTATTGAGGCCCTTTAAGCCCTTTTAACCACTAGCCTACAGGGCACTTATACCCCCTTCCTGCCCAGGCCAATTTCTAGCTTTCAGTGCTGTCACACTTTGAATGACAATTGCGCGGTCATGCAACACTGTACCCATATGACATTTTTAGCATTTTTTTTTAACAGATAGAGCTTTATTTTGGTGGTATTTAATCACCTCTGGGTTTTTTATTTTTTCTTAAACAAACCATAAACCAGTGAAAATTTTGAAAAAAAATGTTTTTTCTTAGTTGTTGTTATAAAATTTTGTAAATAAGTGATTTTTCTCCTTCACTGATGTGCGCTAATGAGGCTGCACTGATGGGCACTGATAGGCTGCACTGATGGACACTGATAGGTGGCACTGATGAGGAGGCACTGGTAGGTGGCACTAATGGGCATTGACAGACATCACTGATGGGCACTGAAAGGCAGCATTGATACATGGCACTGATAGGCAGCACTGATAGGTGGCACTGATAGGCGGCACTGACTGGCACTAAAGGGCAGTAGCACTGACTGGCACTGATAGGCGGCACTGACTGGCACTGTTAGGCAGCCTTGACTGGTACTGTTAGGTGGCACTGACAGGCACTGATAGGCGGCACTGATGCTCACTGATAGGCAGCACTGACTGGCACTGATAGGTGGCACTGACTGGCACTGATAGGTGACACTGATTGGCAGCACTGATAGGTGGCACTGATTGGCATTGATAGGTGGCACTGACTTGCACTGATGGGTGACACTGAAAGGCAGCTCAGATGGGCACTATGTGGCATTGATGTGCACTGGTAGGCACTGATATGTGGCACTGATGTGGCACTGATGGGCACTGACATAAGGCACTGATGGACACTGACAGGAGGCACTGCTTGGGCTACACTGATCATCAGGGCACACTAATCATCAGTGCCCTGATGATCTGTGTACATGTCCCCTTGCAGAAAGCCGATTACCGTCTCTTCTCTCCTCACGAGCTGTCAGCGTGACAGCTCCAGAGGAGAGAAATGCGATAACCGGCATTTCCCTGTTTACATGTGATCAGCTGTGATTGGACACAGCTGATCACATGACCGAGCCAACATCTTTGGCTCTTTCCGTGATCGGCGATCCGCTGTGTCCGAGGGACACAGCGTATCGAAAATCGCCGCACTGCGTGCTCCCTGAGCCGCGCATGCGCAGTGAGACTGGGAGGACGTCATATGATGTCCTCCCAGAACGAGAGAACCACCTTGCGCCCGTCATATTACTATATGGCGGGCGGGAGGTGGGTTAAAGACTTGTTGAACCCTGTTGTCCCCTATGGCAATGTTCTGCTACCCATGTCTTTTTAAAAACAGCAAGAAAAAAAATAAGATGAGTTCAATGGAGTTAAGTCATTTTGTTCAGAGTGTGTGGATTTTAGTATTAGTTGGGTAAACCTCCAGTGAATGGAACGAAGACCAATTCTTGCATTATTAGTGGAAATCTCTAAAATTCCCCTCTTAGATAGTTGTCATGGGAACGTGTGTGTTGAGGGGGTAAAGCTCCCTCCATGTTCCCCTCCTCGTTGGGTGCCAAGTTGGGTCACATGGGAGCCTACCCCCAGGTGGGCTCTTCTGGGCTATGATAGGCATCTTGGAATAGGTCACTCTCCTGCACATGGGGTACCTTTGCTTGTGCCATATCCGTCAATGCGCTGGAACAAGGCTTGGGCTGCTTTCAAGGAATACTCAACCTTCTGCCTTGTAAATTACTGTGTACATCTGACCAATAAACTGTCCTCCAGTTAGCTCCCTCATTTATGTGTCAATGTACACCTTCACTGTAACTCATTGCAATTAGGAGGGACATTCTAGGCCTATGCCCACTCCACCTGTCCAGCATATCACCACTGCTTGACTACCAGTAACGGAATGGGGCCCCATCAAGCACCTAGCGTGGGCTCCATATGTGCTTTGCATTAACACTTCCTCTTTTGTACCTGTACACAGGCTGAGTACCTCTGCATTGCTGATCTGCTCTGTTGCTATGGGGGATGGACTTCCTCATGGAGAAAGTGCAGACAACAACTCCACCTGCAAAAGGCTGTCCCACCCGTCACATATACATATTTCATGTCAGGCTGCTTGCTAAACTGTTGGTATCCTTGGTAACCACTTTTGTCTTCTTACCATGTAACTCTTACAGTACTGTCTTCATACCTCAATGTGCTTTACTGACCCACGCTGTAGACTAAGTGCAGAATGTGCCAGTGACTTGCATTACACCTCAAAAGCTTTACTGAAAACTTTCAGCATAACAGAACAAAGTGCACAGTCTTTTCCTAATTTCTCTAATTCCTAATTTAGGCTTGTGGCTGCCCCAGCATACCTGCACAGGATGAGAGCCCATGCTTGGCATAGTCCATAGTGGAAGTTCTCCAGAACTGGTGTATTCAGGATGGACTGCAGGTCCCAGCAATCCCCCTATATGGTGAATGTGATAGCAGACAGGCTTCAACTCTCAAATGGAACTGTACCCCTTCTCTCTTCTCCATAAGCAGCTGGAGATCACTTGCTGTGGCTTTTCTTTGTCTTTTCCTCCCATAAATCAGATTGTCTGTCTATCTGGGCAGAGCCCTCCCCCTTTTTATCAGCAAAGGGAGAGAGGCAGAGCTCAGCAGAAAGTGTGAAAATAGGTTAACTCTTTCCAGAGTTCTTTGACATACCTAGTACATCCAGATGTAGGGAGTATATAACCTCCTTCCCTTCATACAGCCAATTGCCAGGCCTAAATATTGTCAAGTTGGTGCAAAGCAATGAAACTTGAATAGAGCTTTCTTTCCAAGGCTTAGCTAGGCAATTAGGTTTCAGGGTGCCCACTTAAATGCTTAAAGCTATGATTGTATTAACATTTTAATAAAATGTGGAACGCAATGGCTTTGCTTAAAAATACACTATAGCAGTAATAGAGTATTGCACCATGTTAGTATTTGCTTAAAATCCAAAATGTCTCATTTATAAATAGCAATCTGCACATGCACTTCTGGTGTCTGCCTGAGATTTAGAAACACTTTTATGATTTCAATTTTGTTGTCTAATAAGTGAGAATCACTCTGGTCCAATCCCACTTGTCTATGTTTCCTACATCCTTCCAAAACAACTACACAAATGTTAATCATTAGTGCCATGCACTGACATAGCAAGGTACTGTATGCATGAAAAGATTGCATATACTCCAAGTAACTGCATGTGTGTTTAGGACAAACATACAGGCTTGCATCTATTGAAATCATAAAAATTCATAAATGCTGTGTCCTTAAAAAAGTGCACTGTCACTGAACACATACCCTGTCAGTATATGCTGTCAAAATGATTGTTGTAGAATTTTTGCATTGTTAAGTTATAATCACTTTGGCTACTAGATAGGCAAAATATCAGATAGTAAAGATAGATAGATAGATAGATAGATAGATAGATAGATAGATAGATAGATAGAGATAGAGAGATAGATAGATAGATAGATGTTAGCTGTGAAATAAAAAACATTTACCCACTAGTATTTAGCATTTGTTTATTGGAGATGGCACACAGATCCACATAAATCCAGCTTCACCCTAGATTACTCTGGTTTACTGATCCGAGATTTAATGCATGCAATAGGCAGGATAGTACTGTACTCTGATGGTAATGGATAGCATCTCCCATGTGGCCAAGTGAACAATCTTCATCCACATTATGAGTATAGTTGAAAGAGGAATCGGTCTGCTTCTATATAAAGAAATCATCTTCTGCTACATCACCCACAGGGACATCCATTTACATAACTAGGGTGGACAGGAATGCAAAATAAAAGGCATGCCCTGTCAGTAAAACATTTTATACAGCTCTACTGTTCTGAAATCCTGGAGAACTGTTTATTAAAAAGATGCTTGTTAGTGAAACTAGTTTAAGAAAAGCCAACATTGTTCAAACAGGGAACAACTGATTTGCTAGTCACACAGCATTTAAAACAACAACAAAACAATCTGGTCTCTAAGAAAAATAGCTATCAGTGCTTATAGTACCTGTATAATATATCCTCTGTGCCATCTGTCAATGTATACAGTGCAAATAGAAAAAAAAAGACAATGTATAGCAGATACCGAAGCTCAATTTCACTCGACATCAAGGAAACATTTTGTTTGTTGTAGTAAGCAAAGTACTAAATAAAGAATACATTGTGATTGTACAGGGGGTGGACTGACAACTCATGGGGCCCCCGGGCAATAGGGGATCATGGGGCCCCTGTGTCCTTGCCCAAACTCAAAAAAGCCACCAGGGGCATCTAATGGGGCCCCCTACTGACCCCGGGCGCTCGGGCAGCGCCTGAGTTTCCAAATGGTCAGTCCGCCCCTGATTGTACAATGCCTTTGAGTACCACCTGTACTATTCATTAGGCAGGTGAGCTAGTAGGCAAGTTAAATGTTAAAACCAGAAATATTACAGATATTTGGTTCATGAATATTTGTATAAGACATATACTGCATATTTAACCACTTCCAGTCTGGACACTTTTACCCCCTTCCTGTCCAGGCCAATTTTCAGCTTTCAGTGCTATCACAATTTGAATGACAATTGCGTGGTCATGCAACACTGTAACCATATGAATTTTTTAGCATTTTTTTGAGACAGATAAAGCTTTATTTTGGTGGTATTTAATCACCACTGGGATTTTTATTTTTTTGCTATGTAAATGAAAACGTCCAAAAATTGTGAAAAAAAGTGTTTTTTCTTATAAACTTTTGCAACTAAATAGTATTTCATCATAAATATTGGCCAAAATTTATTCCTTTATCTTTTTAGTAAAAAAAAAATAACCCAAATTAGTTTATAACCAAAAATTATAATTTTTAAAAAAAATGTTAACTTTTTATTTTTTTTTATTTTTTTTTATTATTATTATTTATTTATTTTTACATACTGTCACCCTAGCAGTACAGTGTCACCATGGTGATACTGTACTACTTGTGGGGGGTGATGAAGATTTTTTTTTTATACTGATTGCTTTTACACCCATAAAGGCTGTAAAAGCAATAATTTCTCCTTCTCTCTAGCTGCATTCTTGCAGCCATTGAAAACTACTGTGTGAGCTGTGATTGGTCACAGCTTGTCACATGGTACAAGGCTGTTGTGAATAGCCTTGTACCATGTGACTTCTGTGATCATTCACAGATTTCACACGTAGTAAGCAATGATGTCAGAAGTGACATCTTGCTTACTACTCTGCATGTGATCACTGATTGGCCCGGCCGAGGTCCCGTCCCATGATCAGTGTCCCACTGTGGACACAGCGGGCTCCGGATCGCGGTGCTGCGCAGTCCCAGGGAGCGCACACAAGCAGGGTGCGGGGAAGCCGTTTATAACGGCCACCCAACCCTGCACTGCCACTGTCTGGCCGTTTATATACATGGGCCGGACGGGAAGTGGTTAAGCAAAAGGAAGCAGCATTTGTACCTATTTAGTAAAATAGTTTGTTCACACAGCAGGAGAGTCACTCACTTCAAACTCCTTTTGCGTATTAACCACACAGAGAGTTGTAGCATACATTAATGCTTTATTTAAATCCAAAAAGAATTGAAGTGGTTTTATACCCTTACATATCCCAAGTGACTGGCTTCATACAGAGATTAAACAAATCCTCCCACATAAGTTTTACCTGTTTATCCTCAGTTTTCTCTTCTCTACATCCATTCAAAGTTCTGAATTTATAAAGCTTGTTTGAGTGTTCAGAAAAAAGGGTTGTAAAGCTGAAATGACACACCACAGAGCTCAGTGAGGTGAGCTCTGAGAGCTGATTGGAGGGAAGAGACATATCCCTCTCCACACAG